TAAATATACATTTTCGCAAATATGTGTGAGCAAATTGGACCCACAAAGATGGACAAAACTGTTAAATACCAGAAGGGGGGGGGGGGCGAAAATCGAGTGATGACGGGGAGACCATGAATTTATTGTGATTGCGGTGAAAACACTTTTAAAAGTTAAAATAATATTTTTGTTAAAAATGGTATGAACCTTTAGTAACTTACCGCTATTTACTAGATCGACTGCTGCTGTTTCAAAGAGGAGGCTGATAAATCAAAAAGGCTGCTACTAAATCAAAGAGTCTGCTTCTATATAAAAGAGGATGCTACTATATCAAAGAGGCTGCTTCTATATCAAAGAGGCTGCTGCTATAAACGCTGTTCAAACTTGTAAAGAAAGGTTGCCCGTGAAAAGAATCAGAGAAAAGTTGCCAATCCGGAACTTGTTGGCTGTGTGGGGGGAAAAAGTGTTGAGCTCGAAAGATGAGTGATCACAAACTCGTAACGTGACCCAGGGGATCAGTGATATCAGCATGTCAAAGACGACGCGCGTCTTGCTATACCACGTGAGGATTCACATCACGTGACGCGTACATCAAATTGGAATTAGTTATTGATGTTTTTTAATAGAAATGCTTAAGAAGGGAACATAATGGGCCTATTTAAGATGTATGTATTTTTAAATGAGCCTGCATTTATTTGTACTTATTTTTCTTTTGTTGGATCAAAGCGTTTTTTAAAAATAATAATAACCGTTTTTGCATTGAAAAACCAAGTATAAAAAACACGTAGATTTACTTATCTATTCATGTAGACTTATTTACCTATTCATGTAGACCTATAATCAATTCATGTAGGCCTAGGGATCTATTCACGTAGGCCTATTTATCTATTCATGTAGAACTATTTATCAATTCATGTAGGCCCAGAGATCTATTCGTGTAGACCTTTTTATCTATTTATGTAGGCCTAATTATATATTCAAGTAGGCATATTTATCTATTGGACACATTGGCACGTCGAGCGTGAGCTCTTCATGCCCTTCTCAACGAACCCAATGAGAGCAGAAAC